GGTTTTGATGGTTTCCTGTCTCACATTCAGGTCCTTTATCCATTTTGAGTTTATTTTTGTGAATGGTGTGAGAAAGTGGTCTAGTTTCAACCTTCTGCATGTTGCTGTCCAGTTCTCCCAGCACCATTTGTTAAAGAGACTGTCTTTTTTCCATTGGATGTTCTTTCCTGCTTTGTCAAAGATGAGTTGGCCATACGTTTGTGGGTCTAGTTCTGGGGTTTCTATTCTATTCCGTTGGTATATGTGTCTGTTTTTTGTGCCAAGTCTGATTCTCTTTTAAAAACGTCTTTCTTTTACATTTTTTCTATTATAGGAGGTATAACATGTGTTCTTTCACTAATCTGTGCCTTGGTTCTCGCTTACTTGGATCAGAGAGCAGAACGAATCCTTCATAAAGAACAAGGAAAAACAGGTAGGTCTAAACGCAAGAAAAGTGGGGCTTTGGGAATTGCAGACCTTTGAGGATAATTTACAGTGAGATAAGTTCCTAATGTAGTGTTATATCCCAGTGAGGCTTAATACATGTTTTTTGTTTTTTTTTTTAATCTTTTATTTCCCAACCTATTTCTACTTGTCTAAATTTTGGGGTACATTTTTTTTCCCCTTAAGCATTGACAGCATTTACATTCCTGTATTTAAATGCAAAATGATGAGTGTTCTTGAAGAGGAGCAGGAAAGTAGACACTAATCTTAGATTTTGCTTTTTCTAATGTCTTTTTAAGTTTTCCCAGAAACTATGTTCCAGTAATTTACTGAGAAAAGTATTTTGTAAACTGAATGGTAAAGGTTTATCACATGATAAAAGAAAAATAATCTTGACCTAGATATGCAAAATTATGCTGATAGTTTCTTCCTTTTCTTTTTAAGGTGAAGTTATTAAGTTAACTGATGTGAAGGACTTCTCCTTACCCCTGTGGCTGATATTTATCATCTGTGTCTGCTATTACGTGGCAGTCTTCCCTTTCATTGGACTTGGGAAGTGAGTATTCCCTAGGATTCCATTTTTGTTGGCTAAATTATAATGAGAATTTAATCACATAAATGTAATTTTTTTAGCTATGAATCTTGCTTTTACAGTTACAGTTTATATTTACACAGGAATTGTTTTACATCCTGGCATACAACTGATTTTGTTTGCTTTAAGATTTAGTATTTGGCTTAATGGTTTTAATTATTTTTTTTGATGAAATACCTAATAATAGTTTTTGATTCATAATACAGCTTTATTTTAATGCTTTATATTGGACTAGAATTCTTTTTTATTTCCTCTTTATTCCTTTGTTTGGAAGCTTTTTCTTGAAAATGGAAACAGTACTTTGGCTCATTGTGCCTGGGCACATTTCCATTTGCTAGGATTATAATTATACCAGGGTTCAAAATCATTCTTTTTTGCTCTGTCACCTGCCTCTCCCTTTCCATTGGCAGCTGCTTAAACAGAGCAGTGTATGAGTGTATATGTACTGAGTGTCTTTGTAATCAGAACCTTTAAATTGAGACTGTCTGTGACTTTGACACAAAGTCACATACATTATTTTGCAAAGAACCTATCCGGTCCTACTTTAAGGGAAAGAAGCACTCTTAATATCATGTAGTAATACAGTTGATTTTCTGAAAACTTATGTGTACTGTTTGCTGTATTTTTAAAATGAAAAAAATTGGGGGCGCCTGGGTGGCTCATTTGGGTTAAGCGTCCGACTCCTGCTCAGGTCATGATCTCCCAGTCTGTGGGTTTGAGCCCTGCATTGGGCTCTGTGCTGACAGCTCAGAGCCTGGAGCCTGCTTCGGATTATGTGTCTCCCTCTCTCCTGCCTCTCCCCAGCTCATGCTCTGTCTCTCTCTCTCTCAAAAATAAAATAAACATTAAAAACATTTTTTCAAATAAAAGTAATGAAAACAAAATGGAGCGCCTGTGTAGCTCAGTCAGTTAAGTATCTGACTTCGGCTCAGATCATGATCTCTCAGTTCGGGAGTTCTCTACTGTGAGCACAGAACCTGCTTCGGATCCTCTGTCTCCCCCTCTTTCTCTGCCCCTCCTCCACTGGTTCTCTCTCTCAAAATAAATAAATACACTTAAAAAAAAGAAGTAAATAAAATAAAACGAAAAAAATTGACATCAATATATTTTATTTAGTTAGTGAAGTATTTATATAAATACTAAAGCTTTAGCTCCAGTTGCTTGAAGATGAATGTTAAATAAGATGGGAAAGTAGTATCAAGAAGGAAAAGTTGGGGCACCTGGGTGGCTCGGTCGATTAAGCGTCCGACTTTGGCTCAGGTCATGATCTCACGGTCCGTGAGTTCGAGCCCCGCATCGGGCTCTGTGCTGACAGCTCAGAGCCTGGAGCCTGTTTCAGATTCTGTGTCTCCCTCTCTCTCTGCCCCTCCCCTGTTCATGCTCTGTCTCTCTCTGTCTCAAAAATAAATAAACGTTAAAAAAAAATTTAAAAAAAATTAAAAAAAAAAGGAAAAGTTGACTAAACTTGAGTTTTTATTTAGTTTAATTATAAACAATAGTTCACTCTAAAGTGCTTATTTCTGTCTCTCTCTCTTTTATTTTAGAGTTTTCTTTATAGAGAAATTTGGATTTTCTCCCCAGGCAGCAAGTGCTGTTAACAGGTATTTCATTAATTCTGTAAATGCTTATTGTGTGTTTAGTGTGGGTCTATAATTATAACCAAATGTCCTAATAGATAAAAAAGACATGCGACTTAACATCCATAGTGTGAAACCAAGATTATATTGGTACTTGATCCTGAGAGGCCATCTTTGCATTAATGGAAAACCAAAGAAATCTTGGACCACCCTTTATATCTTTAAATTTCTGTTTGTTGATGACCATTTTAGAAGAATGCTAAATAAAATGAGCTAGGATTTGCTTTGTCTAGTGATTTTAGGGACTTTCTGGATGTGATATATTTCATTAAATATCTTTTATATTCTCTGGACAGTATTGTGTATGTCATATCAGCTCCGATGTCCCCAATATTTGGGCTCCTGGTGGATAAAACAGGGAAGAACATCATCTGGGTTTTGTGTGCAGTGGTTACCACTCTTGCTGCCCACATCTTGCTGGCCTTCACGCTGTGGAATCCTTGGATTGCTATGGTAATATCATTGTTGATGTTTGTGGGGATCAGGGCTTTAGGGAAGACTCTGTAGAGTGCAGGTCCGGAGCCACACTCAGCTCTTCTGATAGCAGAGCTTGTGACAGTGAGAAAAAACATGCCTTGATTTTAATTTCTACAAAATAGCTATTTTTAAAGTAAATATTAATTATTAATGCATAAGGTATTTTTAATTTATTTGGCTTATTTAACAGTAATCTCAATGCTGAAATCGAATTTGAAATAAAGTAGTCTTATAAAAGCCAAAATGCGTATTAGTTTCATTTATTTTTCTGTACTTTCATCATAGGTGGCAAAAAAACAAAGAAACATACAAAAAAACCTATCAGCCCAGGATTCATGATTTTGCATTCTTTTGTCTTTAACTCCTAGAAGGTTAAAAAGTGACAACGAATTCATCAGATTTTTGTTATTGTTCTTTAGAATGTCATTTTAAAACTCTTTTTTTTTTTTAACTTTTATTTATTATTGAGAGACAGAGACAGAGCATGAGCATAGGAGGGGCAGAGAGAGAGGGAGACACAGAATCTGAAGCAGGCTCCAGGCTCTGAGCTGTCAGCACAGAGCCCGACGCGGAGCTTGAACCCATGAACTGTGAGATCATGACCTGAGCTAAAGTTGGACACTTAACCAACTGAGCCACCCACGCACCCCAGAATGTCATTTTAAAGACCACAGGCTTAATGAGTGTATATGTTTGCACTCTTAGTGAGATTTCCATAGGGCAGATTCTTGGAAGTTGAAATGCTGTAACAGAGGATTTGTGCATGTGACATCTTGATAGACATCATGAAACTTATCTAAAAAGTTTTTACCCATTTATAGCTTTACCAATAATACACAAATGTGTGTGTTTTTTAGTATCCTAGCCATGTTGGGTGCTGGCCATGTTTTAATCTTTGCCAGTATGATAGGTTTAGATGATCTTATTTAAACTTAAATCATAAGGTTTCTTTTTAACTAAAGAAAAGTCTGCATTAGGTGATAGATAGTTCTCTGCCATGCCGTTCAGTTAGGTGTTGGTTACCCAGAGGTAAGATAATGGATTGTTGGTGTGATGTTGCCTTGATTGCTTAATTTGTAATCAGTACTGGAAAATTAGCTTGCCTGAAACATTGGTAATAATTTTTTGCAATTTACCTTTATTTTCTTATTTACTCCTTAATTGTACTCTGGGCCCAGTCAGTTATATAGGTATGTAATATAAAATGGTTAAGACTGTGTGTGTGTGTGTGTGTGTGTGTGTGTGTGTGTGTATCAAATGTGAATTTTAGCATAATTGCAATAAATTTTGTATGAATGTTGATATATTTGCTCTTAAGTCACTCTAGCTAATCTGCATCAAAGGAAAATCACCTTTTGGTTAATGTTAAGCTTTTTTCCTTTTTGGTATTGCTTTCTACAGTGTCTCCTGGGAATCTCCTATTCGTTACTTGCCTGTGCATTGTGGCCAATGGTGGCGTTTGTAGTTCCTGAACATCAGCTAGGAACCGCATATGGCTTGTAAGTGTTTGCACCATAATGTCTCTCTCTGCTGTATCAATTTAATTATCGTGTAAAACTCTACGTCTCCTGAATCCAGTCACCTTCAGGCTTCTGGGACAGCTCTGAACCTGGAAATCACTGGAGAAGTTGGTTTAATCTATGGGTGATATTGTGGCAACAGAAATGCTCCAAGCCTCCACAAGAAAGCTGGAGTTAAGCTAACCCATTAGAAGTGATTTCTGACATTGACATTGGCTGCCTGTTTATCTGAGGCCTTCTGAGTGAGATATTGAGGCCTGGTCTCTGGCCCAAAAAGCAGAAGGGGGAAACTGCACCCGTGTTGGTATTCACTTAGCTCTTTCTTTCATTCAGCAGGAAAGTATTGAGTTCATACTTCACTTAATAAGACAGGCTCCCTTACCTTTGAGCATAACATCTAGTAGCAGAAACAGTCATGGGATAAAAAACAATTCTAATCAGGTCGTTCCTGGTTGAAAACACCTTTTGATACTAATAGTATGTCGTTTATAGATACTAATGTTTAAAGTGAATTGTTATTCTGTGTGTGAAGACTTTCTAAATTGAAATGTGTTTTTATATTTCTTGAATTGTAGCATGCAGTCCATTCAGAATCTTGGGTTGGCGATCATTTCCATTATTGCTGGCATGATATTGGATACTCGGGGATATTTGTTTTTAGAAGTTTTCTTCATTGCCTGTGTTTCTTGTAAGTGTGATGTGGCAACATTTAGTTTCTTATAAAGTGTAGCAGAATGTTTTATTTATACTTTTAGGTTTTTGTTGTTCTTGTTCTCATTTTCCCTCTTTTAAACCAAATCCCTAAAATGTACCTCTCAGATTTGCCTATTTCTTAGTCTGTACATCGAAGTTTTCCAGCCAGTGGTTTTCTAGTTCTATGAGGATTCCCAAGCATTTTTTAAGGAGATGCCTATTTTTAAAAGTAGTAGTGGAATTTGCTTCATATTCTGTTTTAAATACAGTTTTTAGGAAACATTATCCTCTTTGAAGTGGAACCATTTAAAGGGTGCCAGGTATGTTCCTGGTGTGAATGTATAGAATTTGGTATGATTTAGGTGTGAGTGCTCATGGTTTATTCATTAGGCAGCTTTTAATTGCTTTTATTCTTAGTCTTATAATTTAATTTTTACCTGTAATGATTTATTCGTTAAAAATAGGAAATACTAGGAAACTGTTGAAAACTACAAAAATAAACTAGTATTTTTCCTGTGGTAGGCTTCACCATACATATAGTTGTATTTACCTGAGAAAAGTTCTTATATAACATACCGAGTTGTCTATTATGCTTTATTTATTTTTTTCATCATGACATTTCTGTTTTTTTAATATAATTTGTTGTCAAATTGGTTTCCATACAGCACCCAGTGCTCATCCCAACAGGTGCCCTCCTCAATGCCCATCACCCACTTTCCCCTCTCCCCCACCCCCATCAACGCTCAGTTTGTTCTCAGTATTTACGAGTCTCTTATGGTTTGCCTCCCTCCCTCTCTGATTGTAACTTTTTTTCCCCTTACCACCCCCCACCATGGTCTACTGTTAAATTTCTCAAGATCCACATATGAGTGAAAACATATGGTATCTGTCTTTTTCTGACTGACTTATTTCACTTAGCATAACACCCTCCAGTTCCGTCCACATTACTGCAAATGGCATGATTTCATTCTTTCTCATTGCCAAGTAGTATTCCATTGTATATATAAACCACATCTTCTTTATCCATCCATTATGCTTTAACATGTGTTTAATTGGCAAACCCTAGTGATGATTTTTATCAGACCTCATTTACAGGGATTAAAGACAATTTATACTTGAAATGTGGTATTTGTAGATAATTGTTATGCAAAGCCTGACTGTATTATATTATCTCATACTCTTAGAGTAAGCACATCATATTTTAAAAATGTATTATTTGTTTTTAAAAAGTAAATGATACAGAATTCACAACTAGGTAATGAAAGTATTTTTGTCTGTTTTTGATGCTGCAACATGTGGTTTAATTTCAGTCCACAATTCCACATATATTTGATTCTCAAACCTGACACCATGCCATTTAAAAATGTTTTTGTTGCCATATTAACTTAAAGTAAACAAAGTGTGCCTCACCTGTTAAGGTAAAAAGCCAAGTCCTGACTTTCTGAGGTTTTCCCTGGCTCTGGGCTTCTGGGATTCAAATGACCACGTTCTCATGTTTGGTGAATTTGTAAAATGGATATGATGTTTTCAGACTAGAAGGATTACTTCTGTTTGGTTCTCTGTAAAAAGATAAGTAGGGTGCTGGCAGGACTTTTTGGAAGTGTAAGGAAGGACTACCACTTAAAAGGGAGAGGAAAGAGCTACAGGGATGATCCGTGGGTAGATCAGCCCCTTCTGTCTCAGCTTCTTTGTTTCTGGCCTGCCATGCCTGGTCTCATGTAGCCCATGGGAGAAAATGGAGTGTAAATAATTTTTAGTGATTTTTGAAAACTAATGTGAATAGTGTTTTTTATTATTATTATTATTTTGAGAGAGAGTATGAATGCATGTGTGGGATAGGGAGTATGGGGGGAGGGGAGAGGCAGAGGGAGAGGGAGAGAAAGAATCTCAGCACCAATATGGTGCTCAATATTATGACCTTGAGATCATGACCTGAGCTGAAATTAAGAGTCCGACGCTTAACTGACTGAGCCACCCAGGTACCCCAGTAGTGTTTGTATTTTTAAATGCCGGTCAGTAAAGATTTCTCTAAGTTTTACTTTGTAATTATGATTACATAGGAATCATTGGGAAGAAGTACATGTTTTTTAAGGACCTGTTTTTTTCCACTTTCAGTGTCACTTTTATCTGTGGTCTTACTCTATGTGGTGAATCGTGCTCGAGGTAAGTAGAATTCAGACATTTTCTTCTTAAACCACCGTGGATCATCTAGTGGGGTCCCTGGATTGTCTACATGCCTCTTTAGAGCCCAGTGCTTTAGTTATGTAATAATGACATTCCATTCGTAGTGATAGAAACACAATTCATTATTTAACATATAATTATGTGTTCTGGAACTTCAGATTTATTAAAATTGTTGTCATTTTCTCTCTGGCCAGTTTAAGTTTTGTAATATAACATTTTAGATGTTCTTTTTTATGTTAGCATAAAAAAAGTATGGCATTTTTAAAGTAACTTAAAGCCATTATTGTGTTATTGTCTCATATTTTAAAAAAGTGCACATATTTATAGCTACAGTTTGAATTTAAGGTTTAAAGTGTTTGATAGAGAATGAGGTGTTACACAATTTTTCTTTTGCTGTATCTTCTATATGCATTTGTACTTCTTTTAAAAATTTTTTTTAATGTTTCTTTATTTTGGAGAGAGAGAGAGAGTGAGAGAGAGTGAGCAGGGGAGGGACAGAGAGAGGGAGACAGAATCCAAAGCAGGCTCCAGGCAGGAGCTGTCAGCACAGAGCCCAATGCAGGGCTGGAACTCACGAACCTTGAGATCATGACCTAAGCCGAAGTTGTACGCTTAACTGACTGAGCCACGCAGGCACCCCATTTTCTTTGTTTTTTATAAGGTTTTGATGTTACCTTTATTAATTTTTCTAACTTGCTTGCCCTGAAAGGTTGTTATGTACCTAGAAAAATGTGTGTACTTGCTAATTAAATTATTTTAGGTCATTTCCTTTAGTTTCTCTTAGTTTTCGCTATTATTGAATATTAATACAATGTCCCAGTTAACACGATGTAATGAAATACGTAAGTCCAAGCTTAAAAAAAACAAAGCTCACATTATACAGTGATTATTTGTATTTGTATCATATAAAGATTCTTAAAGTACATTCCACCCCTGCCCCCCCTTGGGAAGGTTCCAGGAGATAAACTCTTTCTCATCTTCTGTAGCCTTTTGTGTTACTTTAAGGTATACTAATATAAATGTGGGGTGTGTGTGTGTGTGTGTGTGTGTGTGTGTGTGTGAATGTTTGAATTTTAATTTTAGTAGTTTTATAGAAAAGGTTCTGTGCTTATTTGTGTTTTAGGGGGGAACCTAAATTATTCTGCAAGACAAAGGGAAGAAGTAAAACTTTCTCATGCTGAGTAAGTATTAAAAGAGAAAAGTTGTCTTTCTTTTGCAGATCTCAAACATTAGCATTTTATTTCAAAGTATGAGGTTTGGACTTTTAAGAAATTAGTCTTCTTGAGATTTGAGAGCTAGAAATTATCTGTGGAACTAGTGTAACAAAATTCTTACTTGTTCAGAAAATTTAAATAGGGTCAATGTCAAGGGTTAAAATGAAGGGGGATAAGAAGAATTGGGCTTTAAATTGCTTTCTGGGAGAGACAGAGAGAAAGACTTGTAGTATTTGTCATTTATTGGAGGAAAGGTCTTTGTCCTAAGCTCCTATTCTGGGCTTACCCTTCCATTCTCTCTGATGTTGTCTTTTTCTTAACTAGTTGAGATAATTTTTCATCTTCTGCTACTAACATTCTGTGTCTTCTCATTTAGAACAGATTAAGTATATAGTGTGGTGTTTAAGTTAATTTTTTCCACAAGTGTATGCTAAAACATAACTGATTCTATTTCCTGTTACTATAATTTCTGATTTTTTAGATATTAAAATTTTTATGATTTAAAAAATGTACTTATAAACATATGCCATGTAATTATAAGTTTTGTGAATTTTGTATAGCTTAAAATCTTGTAGAACAAAGCTGTCTTTTAAGGAGGTGATTCTTGGCCATTTCAAATTACCTTTTAACATAGTAATTCTACTTCTTGAAATACATCTTGAGAATATAATCAAAGCTATTACAGGTTTTAAATGTCTTTATGACAGTCTTGTTTGTTATATCAAACAGTTGGAAAGAACATGAATGTCCCAAGGTAGGGAAATGGTTAAATAAATTATGACACATCCATATAATATGTTGTTAAAATCATGTTTTAGAAAGAATTTAAAAGTCAGGATGACTTTTTTTCCGTCCGTGCACCAAGTCAGAGATACCTACCCTACCACATGTTAAGTACACAAAAGATTAAAATGCAAACATAATATCCAGTTTTGTTAAAGAAAAAGTATGCAGGCATGTGTATTTCTTACTTACTTACTTGTATATGATAGAAGAAATACTGAAAGGAAAAACCCCAAATACTAACAATTCCATTTGAATGGTAAGGTTACAGGCATACATTTTCCTTTATCCATATTTTCCAGATTTTCTACATTGATCTTATGTTACTTTTACAATCAAGAGGAGTTAAGAGATATTCAGCAAAGTGTGCAGCCTTTAATATTTGGCACTACATGTTTTGTAATGCTTATGGTTTTTATTTTGTAAACCAGTTGAGACCTCCTGTGTTTTCTTTCTCCTTTTTGATAACTTACTGCATTGTGTTTTGCAGATGAGAAGCTTAAATGACTGTGTCATGAGATGGGCTGCACACATCATTGGTTTGAAAACTTCTATTTTTTTTTTAAATCTAGAGATTAATCATTAGGAAAAATAATGGTGTGGAAAGTTTTTATATTTATATTTCAAAAATACCTATTTCAAAGTATATTTGTGATGACTATTTTGGCCTCTGTCTTATGAATTGTGTATTGCTGAAGAATTCTACTTTGGAATGGGCTAATCAACAGTGAGGTTTAGAAAGTTTCTCTGGTATATACAGGTGAACTTTAGTGAGGACAGTAAATAGTGGAAAACTTGGATCTTGTATTGAGATAATTTTCAGAAGAAGCATCTTTAAATCTTAAAGCAAAAAAAAAAAAAAAAGGCTTTTGAGGGGTAGAAGGGATATTTTATACAGAATAAACAGTGGCATGTTCATAGGCATTCCCAATTTTGATAGGGAATATTTGAAAGATATTTTTTATGCAGTCTTTTCATTTTCACAAATAGCAGATTGAATTCTGCTGTCTTTAGTTATGAGAGGTTGATGAGCAGTGACCCTTTTGAACTTCTTTGTATCTCCATTACTCAGGACCCTGATCACTTAGAGATGTAATTTTGTGCTAGAGTTTTTTCTTACAATCTAATTAATTACTAAGCAGTATCCTTGAAATTATGCATATCTACATGGATTAAAACACTGCAAAAAGAATACTTGATGTCTTTTAAAACTTGATTGTTTAAAAAATATTAAAACACTGATTTTAACTGTTAATTATTTGGAAGATGATCTCTATAAGAAAGTCTAAGTTGGAGGGGCTCTGGGGTGGCTCAGTCCATTAAGTATCTTGACTCTTGATTTTGGCTCAGGTCATGTACTCAGTTTGTGAGTTCAAGCCCCATATCAGGCTCTGTGCTGATGGTGTGGAACCTGCTTGGGATTCTGTCTCTGCTTCTCTCCCTCCTTCCCCAGCTTGTGCTCTCTCTCTCACTCTCTCTTAAAAAATAAATAAACAAACAAATAAATAAACTAAAAAAAAAGATCTAAGTTGGAATAAAGAAAATTTGCTTAATTAAAGTCTTTGTAAGTCAGTGGAGCACCTTTTTCTCCAGAGTAGGACTTTAAATCACATTTATATATTTCGGATTAAATATGGTTATAAAATTTCTTTGACAAACTTAAAAACTTTTTAATTGACTTAGTCTTAGCATATTATATGTTAAAGTCAAGAAATTTTTCATGTGATTTGCTTTTCAGGAGCATGCAGATATTTTAGACAACTATTAAACTGTCATATTTAGCTAATTATATTATTTGAAATATATGACATTGTATGCTTGAAAGTTCTGGAACACATTGAAAATGCATTCCTGATTCAAGTTAAGTTTTATTTACATCAGTTTTTCTGATTTACCGTTTATTGTGTCATTATTCAGTTGTGAGTTCTTTAGGTTTTGATTGCCCTGTGACTGTTCTAGCCCGGATTATTGAATGTTGGCTTTACCAGTTGGTGAGAGTGGAGGGAGCCAGCTGCTGCTGTTGCTGGAGGGTTTGTGTGGTCCAGCCTCCGCCTTACTCCTTCCACCACCTCTGTGCCTCAGCCACAGTTAGCTGCTTAATTACATTTTTTTAAATGGGTCGTGTTCCTCCCCTTTTCAGGGGCCTTGTCCATGCTGCTCCCTCTGCCTAGAATAGTTAACTCAAAATTCTCCACAAGTTGGTTTCACCTCATTCACAACAGAAAACCTTAGCCCCAGCTCAGAACCGTTCTTCCTGTGGAAACTCTTCCAGGCCCTTTAGGCTAAATCAAGTTCTTCTAAAATTTCTGTGATCTTTGAAAAGCCCTGTGCTTTTTCCTTCTTAGCTTACCTCAGCTTATAATGAAGAATCTGTGATAGTGTGGGTTTTGTTATCTACCTCTTCCTTTAGATTGTAAGCTCCATGAGGGCAGGGACTATGTCTGTTATGTTAATTACGATTGTGTCAATAGTGCCTAGCACAAAGTAAGCACAAAATAAATATTTTTTGAATGATGCATAAATAAAAAGGAGAGTAAAGTGGAATAACCTTTTTGGAGGATAAGTTGGCAATATGAATAAAAAGACCTGAAAAGGATGGTGATGGGCTCTGTGCCTTTTGGCTTAGCAATTTCATTTCTAATAATTTATCCCAAGGAAACCATTAGACAAGTACACACATAAATGTCTTTTAAGAAAGTATTTTCATTGCAAGATTGCTTATAATAGCCTAAAATAGGAAACCACCCATGTTTATAAGAATAGAACTTTTGTTAAGTACTTTGTATCATGTGCTTAAAGTGAAATATTAAAGTAGTCATTAAATGGTTTCATTGGAGAGCATTGACATGGAATGATGGCATTATTATGTGAAGATTCAGAGTGCTGCTATTTTTGTAAAAACACACAAACGTGTCTGAAGGATATGTATGTAAATGTCTCTGGGTGATGACTTTCTTTTGGCTTATTTATGTTTTCTAATTTTTCAACAATAAACATTATATAATAAAAGTTGAAAGAAACCCACAAAAATCAAAATTTAGCACAAGTTTGAGTGCTACTTTTGAGAAAAGTGGAACTTGGTGTTCAGAAGGGAGAAAGGTAACAAATAGGTAGAGTTTCCCAAAGAACTTTGGGGATGTAGGTGGGAGTTAAACAGGGCCCTGAGTTAGAAACAGAATTTGCATTGACAGGAAAAAAATTGAATGTGAAGGGAACCTTGAGAGACAGAATAGAGAATGGGGTAAAGACTAATGAAATAACACATATTCTGTTCCCAGTAGTGGCAGAGAACAGCTTCAAATTGTCTGCAAGCTCTCCATGATTCTGGAATGCCTTAACCTCAGTTTCATCCCCCTTGACTTCTTCCATTTGCATGTTCTTGGAGTGCAACATGGGAAAACTGAATTTAGGTCCTGAACACAGATTTGCCACCTAGAGGTTAATGGGGAAAACTCTGATGTTTTGTAAGAAATACTGAAATGTCCTTGACGTAATACAGGTAGGTGACAACCAAACTTATTACATACTTGTTACCACTTACCCATGAGGTATTCCTATATAAGGTCACGTACTCAAGTACACACTTCTTTTCCTTGTGGATCTTTCTCAGTCCCACATCTTGTCAGCAACCCTGCTTAACTCCCTCAACTTCCTAAAATGATTTTTTCCCCCATAGGTTTGACTGCACATCAGTTGTGTAATGAAAAATCAGTAGACCTATGAGGCATTCCATTTGGGATTAGTGTGTACTTTGTAGGAATTTGTCTTTTTGAAGATCATCTTCCATGCTTGTCTTCTAAGTTTTACTAGGTTGTAGTTTCCTGTGCTTCCATTTTCTGATTAGCGAAATGGAGTATCACTAGAATTCCTTCTAGCACTCACGTACTTAATGTATGAAACATACAGATATAGTTTATTGCCACATGTTAGATATATGTTCATTGATGGATGACCTAAAACACTGTCGAGAGAAATATCTGTCCATTCCTTGCATTTAGTTGATAGATCGGAGAAGATGGACTGTCTTACAATTATGCTCAGATTCCTTTGGACACTGTGGCAAATAAATGGAGCATGCTTGGAAATTTCTAGGATACAGTGGGTTGTTTACAAACAGCTGAAATTGTGCACTGATGACACTTTCAAGCTTCTTGCAAGATTTGTCTAACTCTCCTGCCCGCTGCCCCA